AGAGAAGGACTATTTTGAGGTAAACCTGCAGAATGGGATCTTGTTTGTAAATTCCCGGATAGACAGGGAGGAGCTGTGTGCCAAGACTGCAGACTGTGTCCTTCATCTGGAGGTGATTGTGGAGAAACCTCTGAGGTTCTTCCATGTGGAGGTGGAAGTCAAAGACATGAATGACAATGCTCCCGTCTTCTCTGCCAGGAAAAAGATCCTGAGCATATCAGAACTAATAACAGGTACCCAGTTCTCCTTGGAAGGGGCTTCTGATGCAGATATTGGTACTAATGCACTCTTAACTCACAGGCTCAGTCCAAACAACCATTTTGTTTTGGATTCAGGAAATAATGAAGATGAGAGTAAATCTGTAGTACTTGTGTTAAAGGTTCCACTGGACAGGGAGGAGAACCCTGTGCATCATTTAATACTGACAGCCACTGATGGGGGTGAACCAAAACTCACAGGAACTGTTCAGCTGGTCATCAATGTGCTGGATGTAAATGACAACCCTCCTGTATTTAATCAATCTGTTTATAGGATAAAGTTGCTAGAAAATACAGCTAGTGGGTCGTTAGTTATTACTCTGAATGCTACAGACTTAGATGAGGGGATTAATAGGGAAATCTCTTATTTTTTTAGTGATAGCCTAGCTCTTCATGTCACAAAGCTGTTTAGTATAAATTCTGATAATGGGGAAATCATAGTGATTGGAAAATTGGATTATGAAGAAAGTAAGTTCCATGAACTCCCAATTGTTGCAGAAGATAAAGGCAATTCTCCATTATCAGGGCACTGTAAAGTTCTCATTGAAGTGTTGGACATAAACGACAATATTCCAGAACTATCTGTGAATTCTCTCTCTGTGCCATTGCCAGAAGACTCTCCTCCAGGGACTGTGGTAGCCATCCTCAGTGCTTCTGACAGGGATTCTGGCAACAATGGACAAATCAACTGTTTCCTCTTTCCCCCTGGAGTACCCTTCAAACTCGAGTCCACATTCAAGAACTACTACTCCCTGATTGTTGGTGCAGTCCTAGATCGAGAGCAGGTGGCTGAGTACAGGATGGTTGTGACAGTGGAAGNATTGGATAGACGAGAAGCTGTGGCCATTGTCAAGCTACATCTCTGTACATTCGGAGAGTGGAAAGCTCTATGCTCTGCAGTCCTTGGACTATGAGGAGTTGAAACTGTTGGAGTTCCAGGTGAGAGCCAAGGATGCTGGAATGCCCTCCTTGTGTGGCAATGCGACTGTTCAGGTCTTTGTGCTGGATGAGAACGACAATTCACCTGTCGTGTCAGGATCATCAGAAGAGAACTTGATTCTTCTAGTGGTCCCCGTGATGCCTGGGCATATTGTAGGCAAGTTCCATGCCTTGGATGCGGATTCTGGCTACAATGCATGGCTCAGGTACGAACTGGTTGAAGAAAGCAGTGTTCCATGGTCTGTGGGCCAGTATAGTGGTGAGGTGAGTACCAAATATCCTCTGGATGAATCAGAAGGAGGCAAAATCCAGAGTGTTCTGGTTCTTGTGAAGGACCATGGGAAGCCTCAGCTCTCAGCCACAGCCACCCTGAGTGTGTCACTGGTAACAAGTACCCAGGACATCAAAAAGTATAATCAACATCCAATATCAGGAGATACCTTCATGCCCCTGGTGGACTCCATCAACGTCTATCTGATCATTGCCATCTGCTCTGTTTCCAGCCTGTTCCTGCTGGCTGTTTTTGTTTATATGGCTCTACGATGTCAGTCCAAGGCAAAGGGAGCCATGGTTTATGGCCCTGGCACAGCCACCCTGGTCTGTGCCAGTGAAGTGGGCAGCTGGTCCTATTCCAATCGCCACAGCCACATCCTGGCAGGTGTGAGTGCAGAGGCTGGTGCCAAGAGCGACCTTATGATTTTCAGTCCCAACATTCCTGTTTTTGCAAATAACGGGGAACTTAGGAATGGGACAGAATTACTCCCAGATTCAGCTAAAGAGGTGAGTTGGTCTGGTTTTAGAGTTTTTGACATCCATTCAAAATCATATTTCTGCGCTAACAATTTTGGATCATCTTTATACAAAATGTGTCTTCTGATAATCGTTATCCCTAAAATCACAATATATAAATAAAAAGATAGGTAATTCTTATTTCCAGGGAAATATTTTTTGGAATGGGTTGGTAGAAAAAGATCCTTTTCGAAAATGTATTTTATTTAACAGTGACTAGTTTTGTCTTTCAAAAGTAAAAAATAAATAAGATCTTCGCTGCACCCTGCTATTTTGACCTTTTGTTTATAATTCACCTACTGAAAAAAATATTCTGAATTGTTAAATTGTTTTTGTTTTTGTTTTTAAAAATTGACATTTCTCTTTTTATTTTTTTTAAATATAAATTAGATAATTTTAATACTTTTAAGTAATTAAAGTACATTTTAATACATTAAAGTCCTTTCAAATTAAAAAAAAATGCTTTTCAGTGAAAATGGGAACATAAGATTCTGATTTTGCACTACAGGGGAGTCCTTGGTGATTGATTAGTGCAGGAGTGTCAAACTGCCAGTCCGCAGGCCGGATTGCTGGAAAAAAAGTCGCGATAGGACTGTTCGCAGTTACAACAGTGATGAAAAAGTAACTTTGTGACTAGTCCTCACATTTTTGACTTTCACAGGTTTATAAGGAAAGGAAACCTGAAGGAAGATCATAAGCACAGTAAGTTTTACTTAGCGACCATTTAATGTAATGACTTGAGTTGCCAGTCCTAATTTTGGTTGCTAAACGAGGACTATCTATACATACTTGCATAAAGTAGGTTTGAAATTTTGATAATAAATGAATAGCCAAAATTGGGTGTATTAGTTCTTTTCTAAATCAAGAAATTGATTTGTATATCAATAATCATTCTTCTGTTTATATTTCATCTAATAAACAGATGGGATATTAGTAGTAATACCCTTTCTTCTTTCATTTCTATAAGAACTCCCCAGTAGTATCATAGACACAGTTCATTCAGATAAGAAACTTCTTCACCGACAATAATGCCTCTTTTTAAAAACATTATTTGTGTCTGGACAAGGATTCATCACCATATCAGGCCCTGTGTGGAGCACATTGGGCAGCAAAGGTTTGACCGCTATTTTGATCATTCCCAGCATCTTCGGCTTCGCCCCAAGGGAGATTAGTAGTCTTAAGACCTTCCTCTAAGTGTTTGGTGCCTGGTTTTCCGAGGCCAGCCTGCTTTCCTCTTTTCTCCGGAAGGCATCCAACGTAGTGCAATTTTGGGATGCCAATCTTTAGGCACACGTAAGCTGTGGCCAATAAGCTGCATTTGATGTTCATTCATAGTTCACAATAGGTGTTCTAAATCGGATCTTTGTAGTACGTCTTCATTAGTAATGTCACGATGTGAGATCTGGAGGATTACTTTTAAAATATTATTAAGTTGCTAGGTTTAATAAGTTTAATAGGTTTAAAAACATATCTTAGTTGAGGATTGTTGGTTTGTTTGCAATTTTTAATAGTCAAATGTTGTTGATACGTTTCTTACATGGTATGATATATAGCAGTAAGTCTTAAAAATAAGAAACAAAAATGCAAAGCAAAAACTAAAAAGAGAAGCTAAAAATCAAAACAAAGAACTTGTTCCGCCTTGACTTCAAACATATTGAAAATATAGTGTAGAATTCTCTCCCCTCAACTATCCAGGTGGTCCAATACCCAGAGGCTCCTTTTCTACTGCAATGGCTGAGACCAATAAACTTCTCTGGATAAAGAACAGCCTTTTCAGAATCCAGGGGTAAAGAAAAATCACTGGAGAGAAATATATGTTTGATCAACTTTTGCTTTTCTGCCAAACACATTTTGTTAAATTGCCTGGATTTCAGAATTATTGCTGAAAGCAGATCTGAAAAAATAATCACCTTTAAATTTCACTGAAAGTTCTAACTTGCTTAGATGCAAGATATGATCCCATATTGTAGATCTTAAAAATCTATCCCAAAGAAAGCTGGGTTTCTGTACGAATGGAAACAGATGTATATCTAATAAACAGTTTCAATTTCCAACTTGTATTCTAGCTGTAGTGAAAAGATCTTAAGTAGAAATTCCTATATAAGGATAATTATAGATGGATCTTACTTGGCATTGTAAGGAATATTTAAAAATCATATATATTATTTCTGGGAAGTTAGCACTGTAAATATGTCAGTATAGCTTTATTTATTTTCAACCCTGACATATTGCCTGCAGAAGCATCAAGCTGCATGATTTCTTTTTTTAATGTAAAACTTAATTCTGTCTTTATGTGAAAGAAATAATCAATTCTTTGCTTCATGTACAAAACATTATTTCCCTTATCCAGTACAGTTTTTATCTGCATTAATTCTGTCTTTTTAAAAGAGTATAAATCATGAAAAACAACTTTTAAAGACAAATGCAGCTCTATACAGTTTCCTTCTGTGTAACTTTGTTATGTTACATAACAACTCTATTGTGAGTTAGGAGTTATTCACATATTTCTTTTTTCAGCTCCAACTATTTGTATGTTCTTGTATGAGTGGAATGACTTCTATTTTATTTCTCTTCTTAACTTCAGATCCCAATTTATCACTACAGAGCAGTAATCTAAACGAAGACAGACAAAAGGAAGTAACCTCTTAAACTCATGGGGGAACCAGTTCCTAAATTTGGCATATTACCAAGTAGAAGTTCCTAAACTTATTTCCTAGGAAAGAACTTCACAAAAGCATCAGACACATCTCACCTAGATAAGAATTTAATTCCAGACAATAATAAAGATCTATGAAGCTATGCAGTTAACCATTGCTAGATATTTATATAACTTCAACTCAGTTCTGAGAAATGCTGAGGCCTGGCTTCACATGGAGTGTGGTAAAGTACCACCAAGTTTGAATATGGGCCTTCTTTTCAACATTTTTGAAAGTGATCTGAACAAGGAGATGAAAGAAAATGATAAAATTACAGATGATTTAGGTGGGACAACTAGTTACATTAGAGGACAGAAATATGATCAGTTTAAAGGTGAACATGAGATAGTAGTGTGTCATAACAATTAAAAAGAAATATAATTTTAGACTGCAATAATTTAAATTTAGTTTTCAAGTTATGGGAAGCAGTAATACCACTCTATTCTGCATTGGTTAGACCCACTTGAAGTACTACTATATGTCCAGTTCTGTACAAAACACCTATCAAATTTGTGCAAATAAGGTATATGAGAATTATCAAGAGACTTGAAGGAAGGTTTTGGGAGGAAAGATTAAAGAATGTGGGTAAAATTATAGCTCCAGACCCTACTTCAGAGATTGTATCCCAATAATGGCATATTCCAATTTCCATACATAATTTGGGTCAAACCTTTGGTATAAAAAATGTTAGCTGCTAAAACTAATTATTCATCTGTTATAAATAAAAAAGTATACTCTGTATGTATGGGTGTATGGAGCACATCTCCTTGTTATTTGAAATGATACTGCTGAATTAACTTGTTACTGTAATAATAATAATATAATAATAATAGAGTTGGAAGGGACCTTGGAGGTCTTCTAATCCAACCCCCTGCTCAGGCGGGAAACCCTATATACCATTTCAGACAAATGGTTGTCCAATCTCTTCTTAAAAACTTCCAGTGTTGGAGCATTCACAACTTCTGGAGGCAGATGGTTCCACTGATTAATTATTCTGTCAGGAAATTTCTCCTTAGTTCTAGGTTGCTTCTCTCTTTGATTAGTTTCCATCCATTGCTTCTTGTCCTGCCTTCAGGTACTTTGGAGAATAGCTTGACTCCCTCTTCTTTGTGGCAACCCCTGAGATATTGGAACACTGCTAAAATGTCACCCCTAGTCCTTCTCTTCATTAAACTAGTTCAGGAGTAGGCAACCTTGGCTCTTTTATGACTCGTGGACTTCAACTCCCAGAATTCCTGAGCCATGGCTGGCTGAGGAATTCTGGGAGTTGAAGTCCACAAGTCATAAAAGAGCCAAGGTTGCCTACCCCTGAACTAGACATACCCAATTCCAGCAACCATTCTTTATACTGTATGTTTTAACCTCCAGTTCCCTAATCATCTTAGTTGCTCTTCTCTGTATTCTTTCTAGAGTCTCAACATCTTTTTTACATTGTGGTGATCAAAACTGGATGCAGTATTCCAAGTGTGGCCTTACCAAGGCATTGTAAAGTGGTATTAACACTTCGTGTGATCTTGATTCTATTCCTCTGTTAATGCCGCCTAGCACTGTGTTGGCTTTTTTGGCAACTGCAGCACACTGCTGGTTAATATTTAAGTGATTGTCCACTAGGACTCCGAGATCCCTCTCACAGTTACTACTATTGAGCAAGGTACCATCTATACTATACCTGTGCATTTGGTTTTTCTTGCCTAAATGTAGAACCTTACTTTTTTCACCATTGAATTTCATTTTGTTAGATAGGGCCCAATGTTCGAGTCTATCAAGATCCTTCTGTATCTTAAGCCTATCTTCTGGAGTGTTGGCTATTCCTGCCAGCTTGGTTCATCTGCAAATTTGATGAGTTCCCCATCTATCCCCTCATCCAAATCATTGATGGAACAGAGCCCTGATGTAGATGCAGTTCCATTGAGGACCACACACTGAGTACGGCCGGTCAGCCAGCTATGAATCCATCTGGTGGTGATGCTGTCTAACCCACATTTTTCTATCTTATCAAGTGGTACGTTGTGGTCTACTTTATCAAATGCCTTACTGAAGTCCAGTAAATTATATCCACAGCCTTCCTCTGGTCCACTAATTTTGTCACCTTGTCAAAGAATGCAGTAAGATTTGTCTGGCATGATTTGTTTTTGACAAAACCATATTGGCTTTTGGTAATGACTTTGTTTGCCTCTAGGTGTTCACTGATTCGTTGCTTGATTATCTTTTCCAGAATCTTCCCAGGTATTGAGGTCAGGCTGATAGGTCTGTAGTTTCCTGGATCCATTTTTTCCCCTTTTTTGAAAATGGGAACTACATTAGCTCTTTTCCAGTCCTCTGGTAGTTCCCCAGTGCTCCAGAATCTTTGAAAGATATAATAATAATAATGATAAAGTTAGAAGGGACCTCGGAGGTCATCTGCCAGTTCCTTCAGAACCTTGGGATGTAATCCATCTGTTCCTGGTGATTTGAACTCGTCTAGGATGGACAGGTGCTCACTTACCGTTTTCTTGCCTGTCTTAACTTGTGTTTCTAATCTGTTTTTTACCATACTGTTTTTGATAGTTGGACTATTTTTTCCCTTTGTGTAAAGACAGATGCAAAATACGAATTAAGTAGTTCTGCTTTCTCCCTGTTGTTTGTCACCTTCTTACCATTTTCTCCCATTAATGGACCAATTGTTTCCTTGATTTTTTTTTGTTTTTTACATGTTGAAAGAAGCTTTTTTTGTTACTTTTAAGTTTTGTCGCAAGTCTTAGTTCATTTTGAGCTTAGCTTTCCCTCACTTCATCTTTGCAGGCTCGGACTATTTGCTGATATTCTGCCTTAGTTATGTGCTCCTCTTTCCACTTTTTATTCTTGTCCTTTTTGTCTATCAACTTATCAGAGAATTCTTTATGCAGCCATGCTGGTTTCTTTTGAGAGCTGTTACTTTTTTTCTTCATTGGTATTGTGCTAGACTGGCTTTTATAATCTCACTTTTCAAAATGTCCCAAGCTTCTTGAGTTGTTTTCCCCTTGCAGATTCTCATCCATAGAATCCTTCCCAAGCTATAAGTTTATTGAAATGAGCTCTCTTAAAGTCCAAGAATCTAGTTTGACTATGTTCTATTGCTTGTGCTTTCATAATGTTGAATTCCAATATTGCATGATCACTCCCCCCCTTAAGGTTCCTGTGGCTATTTAGTTGTATTTTTTTTTAGTTCTATTTGCAAACATTATTTCCCTTTTTTGGAAATCAATAGTTAGTCTGCGTTCTCTGCAATAGGTTTACAATGCTTTTTAAAATTGTATTGGGGTGGAGTTGACAGCTGCATCATCCACATATAGAAGTTGCAAAACATTTTTCTTCTCCTATAACAGTTAATGAAAGTCAGGAGTTCATATAAACATTAAGCAATAAGGGTCCCCAAATATATCCTTGCAGAACCTTTTGATTTGATGTAATTGATTGGGCAGGAAACCCCTAAACTTTGTGTATTTTTGCCAGGAAAACATATTAACACAGCAACATTAGAAATGCAATTTGTGAAGCAAATTTTACTTCCTGAGACTAGCAAGGAAGCCAGACAAAGATATGCTAATTTATTCAGTGGCACAGAGATGCTGTGCTCATGCAAGATCAAAAACATTTCTTTCCAATATATAATATTTATACACTGTGCATATGCTCAAATGGATTGCAGTATATGACAGCCTATTGGATAATATATAAGATGAGATATCTACTGTATGTAACAGCTAGTCCAAAATGCGGCCGCACGGGCGGTGTTGGGAGGGACTCGACGCTCCCATATAACACCGCTGCTGCGCGAGCTGCATTGGCTGCCTGTGGCCTTCCGGGTGCGCTTCAAGGTGTTGACTATCATCTTTAAAGCGCTCCATGGCATCGGACCCGGATACCTTCGAGACCGCCTCCTGCCGCAGATTACCTCCCATCGACCTGTACGCTCCCACAGAGNGCTTGCAGGACTGGCCTAGGGTAATTTTTAGAGGGGGTTTTAATTATATTTTAATTAGACTATATTTAAATATTTCTTTTTAATTAATTTTAATCCTGTAATTGTCATTTGTGTATTTTTAATCGATTGTCAGCCGCCCTGAGTCCGCAAGGAGAAGGGCGGGATATAAATTTAATTTAATAATAATAATAATAATAATTTATCACATTTTAAGTACTATGGTAAGTAAGAAGGAAATGGATACATGAATACACAAGTGTCCTGAGACAAATTTAGATTTGCCACTACCAATATATTGTTCCTTATTTTGAAATTTTGGTTCAAATGTTTCAAGTCAGTCCAGTCTTCTTTTAATGGCATCACAGTCACCTTGGCAAACAAGAGAGACAAACAAGTACACTTGCCATCGCTATATATAGAAATGAAAACATCTATCCAAAAAATGTATGTTAATTAATACAGTGTATACACAGTAAAAGAAGAATAAATGCATGTACTGTATGAGATTTACAAATGAAGCCAAGCACTCTATGTAAAAGTCAATATATTTGAGAATGAAGATGGAATGATTATTAGAAATTTGTCATGAATACAGAAGGAAAGTCTGTTTCTACATTTTGAAATTCAGTCACACGAGGTCGCTGTTTCCTAAGAAAACCCTCTAAGTCTAACTGAAAATGCAGAGCTCCTCCCTTAAAGGGACCGACATTCCTGCCAGCCAGATCCACAATGGGATTATTAAAGAAAAGAAAAAAACGCAGAGAAATCACAACAAGCCAAGATCCAACCTATGAAAGCATTCCCAGTATGGCTGGGCTACGTGGGCTCCGCTCCTGACCCCTTGAAGGCAAGGTATTTAGAGAAAAAGAGAAGGGCTTGCGGGGCTGTGCCTGTGTCTGCGATGCTTACCTGGCCGAAGGGGCTGCTGCAGCTGCTTCTGCTCCAGACCGCCTGGAAAATGGGGAGCAGCCAGCTCCATTATTCTGTGCTGGAGGAATCCCAGCACGGCACCTTTGTGGGCCGCATCGCCCAGGATCTGGGGTTGGAGGTGAGCGAGCTAGTGCCTCGGATGTTCCGGATGCTGTCCAAAGGAGAGAAGGACTATTTTGAGGTAAACCTGCAGAATGGGATCTTGTTTGTAAATTCCCGGATAGACAGGGAGGAGCTGTGTGCCAAGACTGCAGACTGTGTCCTTCATCTGGAGGTGATTGTGGAGAAACCTCTGAGGTTCTTCCATGTGGAGGTGGAAGTCAAAGACATTAATGACAATGTTCCCGTCTTCTCTGCCAGGGAACAGATCCTGAGCATGGCTGAATTGATAAAAGCTGGTACTCGATTCCCATTAGAAGGAGCCTCTGATGCAGATATTGGTACTAATGCTCTGTTCAGTTACAAGCTCAGCACAAACAAACATTTTGTTCTTGATTCGGGAAATGATGAAGATGAGAGTAAATCTGTAGTACTTGTATTGAAGGTTCCACTTGACAGGGAGGAGAGCCCTATGCATCATTTAGTACTGACAGCCACTGATGGGGGTGAACCAAAACTCACAGGAACTGTTCAGCTGGTCATCAATGTGCTGGATGTTAATGACAACCCTCCTGTATTTAACCAATCTGTTTATAGGATAAAGCTGCTAGAAAATACAGCTAGTGGATCATTAGTTATTACTCTGAATGCTACAGACTTAGATGAGGGGATTAATAGGGAAATCTCTTATTTTTTTAGTAATAACCTACCTCAACATGTCAGAAATATGTTTAGTATAAATTCTGATACTGGGGAAATCAGAGTAATTGGAAAGTTGGATTATGAAGATATTAATTTCTATGAACTTCAAATTGTGGCAGAAGATAAGGGTACTTTATCTGGACATTGTAAAGTTCTCATTGAACTATTGGACATAAATGACAATATTCCAGAATTATCTGTGAATTCTCTCTCTGTGCCATTGCCAGAGGACTCCCCTCCAGGGACTGTTGTAGCCATCCTCAGTGCTTCTGACAGGGATTCTGGCACCAATGGACAAATCAATTGTTTCCTCTTTCCCCCTGGAGTACCCTTCAAACTCGAGTCCACATTCAAGAACTACTACTCCCTGACTGTTGGTGCAGTCCTAGATCGAGAGCAGGTGGCTGAGTACAGGATGGTTGTGACAGTGGAAGATCAGGGCGTTCCACCCCTGTCTTCTAGCATCAGCCTCTTAGTGCCTATCAGTGACATAAATGACAATGCTCCAGCCTTCACACAGCCCTCCTACACAGTCTTTGTGAAGGAGAACAATCCCCCTGGTGCTCACATC